GCTCTTTAGGGAATTTCCTCTCCTCAGTTCCACAAAATATTTGGGAATACCAAGCCTTGGAGACCCCAACAATGGATCCGGTCTGAGCCGGTGTTTTCCAAAGGTTTTTGAGCGGGATCAGATCCTCCCTTTGGAGAATCTTCCAGGGATTCCCTGGGAATGGGAAGGAGAAGAGGTAGGATAAGAAGGAGCTGTGGGAAGGGATCTCAGCAGCTTTTTGTTTAATTTACGTCCTAATTATATTAATTAGGTTCCAATTATATTAATTATGTTCCAATTATATTAATTTACGTCCTAATTATCCAACAAGAAGGTGGAAAATCCCAATATTCCCTTGGAAGAGGAGATCCTGCTCCCTAGGAGAGGATGGGGGTTTTTTTGTCATACCCTGCAAACTTCAAGGCAGGAAATAAATCCAATTTTTTTTTTGGAATTACCCCATTCCCAGTTGCTCCCACAGGGAATTCCTTACATCTTTTCCAGGTTGTCCCGTGTCCCCTTTCATTCCTCGTTCTCCGGGTGGTCCCGGGATTCCAGGAGGGCCCTGCAAGGGCAGATTCAGAGAGAAAAGATAAAAAAAATCAGGAACAAAACCTGGGCAGGAAATTAAAAATCAGGGAAGGAAAGGAGAAAAATGTTATTTTTTTAACCCAGGGGAGAAATGTTTGCCCCAGGGATGTTCCCAAGTGGGGATTCCCAGTGGGATGGAGAAGGAAAATCCTCTCCTGGGCAGAAGTTGAGCCTCCTCTGGTGCTCAGCTGTTTAAATAATAATTATAATAATAATTATAATACTTTTAATTTAACAATACTTATAATTTTATAACAATTATATGTTTATAATAATAATAAATTTTATAACAATTATAATAACTTAATAATAATTATATTTTTAGCAGAATTATAATTTATAGCAATTATTATTTTTATAATAATTTTTATAATAATTGTAATAATTATAATAATGTTTATAAAATTTGTATTTTCATAATAATTATAATTTTATAATAATCAATATTTTAATAATATTTACAATAAATTCATATTAATTATATTTTATTATAAGTATACTTTAATAATAATAATTTTATAATAATTTTAATAACCACTATAATAATTTTAGAACAATAATAATATTTTAATAATAATTATATTAATCTCATAATAATTATATTTTATCATAATTATAATTTTATAACATTATTATTTTTATAATAATTTAAATAAAAATTTTATAACAATTACAATAATTGTTATAATTATAATTGTATAACAATTACTATTTTTATAATAATTTTAATAATAATTATATAACAATTGTAACAATTTCTATCATAATCATAATAATTTCATAATTATATTTTTGTAACATTTATTAATTTCATAATATTTTTATAATTTGTATACAAATTATAATTTTAACCTAATTAAAATTTTATAATAATTATTATTTTATAATTTTAGTAATAGTTATAATAAATTTATAACAATTTTAATAATATTATAATAATTATAATAAAGTTTACAATAATTATAATTTCTCATAATTATAATTTTATAATAATAATTATTTTTCTAATAATTTCTATAATAGTTCTAATAATTTTTATAACCATTATTATAATTTTTATAATAATTCTAATAATTATTACCCTGATTCCTCTCACTCCTGGTTCTCCAGCTTCTCCCTGAAAAAGAGAGGGAAAAGCAGTTTTAAAATATTCCTCCATCCAAGTTCAACATTCCTTGGTGATCCTCATTTTATCCCAAATTTTATCCCTGATTTTAATGCACTTAGAGCAGGTTCAGGGAGAGAACCACGTCCACCCACCATTCCAAGGGATTTAATGGAGGATAAATCTCCTCTTAATCCTTGGAAAAATCAAAATAAAGGTGACTTTTTGTCATCTGAGGTGTCTTAATGAAGAAATACATGAACACAAAGGGGCAGAATAAATAAATATATTTAAAGTGATAATAAAATGTTCATATTTAAGGGATTATTTCCACCAAATCCCACCATTAGGAATTTCGGGAATGTTGGGATGACGCTCTCAGGGATAAGGAGGGATTTTCCAACTCGGAATATTCCATGGTTCTGTTTGTACAGAACATAAAGAACCATCTCCCAGGGGGTGAAAAAAAAGCAATTTAGTTGTTTTTTTGGCCTTTCACTTCCAGCTTTTAGGTCCAGAGGAGGAAAACAGAGGGAAAATAAGGAAGCAAAGCAAGGAAGGGGATTTTCCAGAGCCTCATCTAAGGCCAAATAAATGAGATAAATTGTTCAAAATAAATGAGATAAATTGTTCAAAATAAATGAGATGATTCAAAATAAAGGAGATAAATTCTTAAAAATAAACAAGATAAATTCTTAAAAATAAATTAGAAAAATTCTTAAAAATAAATGAGATAAATTCTTCAAAATAAACGAGATAAAATCTTAAAAATAAATGAGATAAATGATTCAAAATAAATGAGAAATTATTCAAATTAAATGAGATAAATTCTTCAAAATAAACGAGATAAATTCTTCAAAATAAACAAGATAAATTCTTCAAAATAAATGAGATAAATTCTTCAAAATTAATCAAGGGGTTGGATTTTCCAGCAGCTGTTTAATTAATTAATGTGGAATTCTTTGCCCAGGGAGGTTGAGGGCATTAAATCCCTGGAATTTAATCCCCGGAGGGCTCTCAAAGCCGTGATATTAAACCACCTCTGGCACAGCACATCCCGTTTTTCCATCATTCCCGGGGTTTCCCAGGAAATTGGGGACTCTGGGATTACATTTCCAGCCATGAAAGAGATTTTTATTTCTAATTTTCTCCTCGGACCGAGAGCTTTTGGCGGGAAATCACCGACTAGGCCGCGGCCTTGTTTTTTCCATGACTTCCCTGGTGCTCCTATTCCAGGGATAACCCAGCCCTTGGAACTGGAGAAAGGTCTTCCCTGGATGTGCTTTAGGAGAGGTTTTCCAAAAGCCAAGCTGGGGATAAGAAGGGTTTAAGAAACCAGTTTTCCAGAAGCCAGTCCTGATGTTTTTGTGAGGGGACACCTGGTTTGAGGGATCCTTTTCCATTTGATATCCAGGGATCAATCCAGCCCTTGGAACTGGACAAAGGTCTTCCCTGGATGTGGTTTAGGAGAGGTTTTCCAAAAGCCAAGCTGGG